TCCACTTGATAGGGAGGGGCGATAACGACTTCTTCCATCACGACGATGTTCTTCTCCTGCCATTTACAGTCTTTAATGCTGCAGGGGGAAAAAAAAAAAAAAAAATCAGTTAACGTGACTGGGTTGTGCTCCTGCATCCCCCAGCCCTTCCAAAAGCCACCACACGCCCCCAGCACAGACCCACCGCCCACCCCAGACCCAGGTCTCGCTGAGGAGGTGGGTGCAGAAGCCCCCCGGTACCTCCTGGGCACCCTGCGGGGACGGGCACATGGCCGGTGTGTGCCAGGACGAGGCAGGGAGCGGGCAGGGAGCTGTCACCTGTCCCCAAGCACGGCGCAGCTGCGGCCGTCACGACCCAGGACATTCGTGGCAGGCCCGAGGGTCCGGGCGATGCAAACCCCCCACCCGCAGGGATACCAACGACTCCCAGCCAGCGGCACAGCAGCGGTGGCACCGAGGAGGGGACTTACGTCTTATGTATAGTCTGGAAGAGCTGCTGCCCCTCCAGAGAGACACCAGCACTAATTGCATACGCCTGGCTCATCTTCTCTTCCTTCTCCGTCCGCGCTTTGTTGGCGAGCTGGAGGGGGGACAAAGAGAGAGGGAGCTGGGCTGAGCGCTGCCCCAACAGTGACAAGAGCTCCGAGGGGACACGGGTGTCCCTCCACGCAGACACAGCTCGACAATTAAATCAGGATAACGAAGAGCAGGGCCATTGCCACCCTCCCACCACACCTTGCTCTGCACGCTCCGCAGCGTCGCACGGATTTTGGGCCACGGTTTAATTCTTTTTTGAGTCACTGTCACCACTGCCTGCGTCCCCCCGATATTTTAGGGATGTGGGTGCTGTCTCTCTGCATCCCCCTGTTTGGGCACAGGGAGGGAATCAGCTGCCAGGTGCCCAAGCATCACCTTCCCCTCTGCCCTTTCCGAATTAATTGCAGCATTTTAGGTCCAAAGCACTTTCTGCCGCTTGCTGTTTACTCAGGGGATGCAAATGGGAAAGACGACCCCAGAATAACCGTTACGTTAGGGCTCGGGGGGCGTAAATGCCTCAGAACAGACCACGCAGGAGTGTGAGCAACTTTATCCCACAGTAGTTACTCTGTTCCAAAAAAAAAAAAAAAAAGCAGAATGGGTTATTCGGGAGTCACTGCAGCAGCACACAACATCCACACGCGGGGAAACGCGATTACGCTGGCAGGGTCACGGAGCAGAGAGGGGAACTTCCACCCCAGCATCCCCCGCGTGAAATCCCCCAGAGCCACGGGGCAGGCGGCGCTGGACCAGCCATCCTTCCCGGCTGGAGCT